AAAATGGCTACGATGATAAAAAGTTCAGAAATTATCAGAGGCAATTTAAAAATCTTTGTTTAATAAAACAGAAAATTTAAAAAATAAATTTTTATTTCTAAAATTTTTATTTTAATGCATTTTTTATTCCCGTTCAAGTCTTATTTTGACAAAAACTTTTAGTTTGCACCCTTAAAAGTTGAGTCTTCTAAGTAAAATTAATCGCCGACATTAATTACTATTATGGTAACTTTAAAATTGCTTCGTTTTTGCGACAGTTTTTTTTTTTTGGTTATCCCGAATTCACAGATTTTGCAATATCTGCGACAGAAAATATGTCGGAGTATCAAGGCGTTTTTTTTAGGAAAGTGGTAACCCTAGTCGAAATTTACCATTATGTAATTTTCTTTTAATATAATGTGGAAACAATTTTATGAAATCCAATACTACGTGGAATTTATTAACCAATGTTGCAATATAATTAATTGTGCCGTCAATTCGAATTTTTACGAGTATTTTGTTCTGGGATATTTCAAAGGCAAAATGCTTTTCAGTTAGAAAAGATTCCAATGATATAAGGGGCAATTTTAAATGAAAATTCTAGAAAAATTATATTTGTAAGATGCACCATCTTAGATTGATTCAACAAATTCTAGTTATTTTATTTATATCATAAAGTTAATTCTTCTTGGGTATATTTTCAATACCCACCAAATTCACAAATTTCTGAGTAACATTTAATTCTAAAGACTTCTATGAAATTATTACACTGAGTACTTTTAATAAGAAAGTGGTAAACTACATACTGACATACATATATGAATATAGAAATTGATTTCTAAAATAAATCTTATAAAAATAGAAAATACAATTTCAGATTTAATTTAAAACGAGAAAAAAAATAGAGTTGACCTTGTCAACTCTGTGATACCCGTACGAATTTGTTATCCTATGTGCAAATAAAGATGCCATAACTGACTAAGGGACACATTAATTTATGCAAAATTTCAATACTGTCTGTTTTTCAAAATACTGTGTGTGCCAAACTACTATTTAAGTTGCATGGCAGCTACCAGAAAAAGCTAAGAAATTTTAACAAATTTTATCAAAAACATTGGCCCTAGTAATATATTCGCTTGTGTGAAATTTCAATACCACAGCTTTTACAGTTTCTGAGATATAGCCAAATAACTTTTGAAGTTGTATCGCAGGTACCAGAAGGAGCCAAGTAATTTCAACGGCTTTTATCATACACATTGGCCCTACTAATATATTCGTTTGTGTGAAATTTCAATACCACAACTTTTATAGTTTCTGAGATATAGCCAAATAAATTTTGAAGTTGTATGGCAGCTACCCGAACCGGTACCCCGATCATGTCCAATTTAAATAGGGTTCTGGCACTTAATACAATAAATCATTTGTGAAAATTTGGTGAACTTAGCTCAATTAGTTTTTGAGTTATCGTGGGGACGGACGGACGGACGGACGGACAGACAAAGCTAAATCAACTCAGAATTTGACGCTGATCAAAAACATACACTTGAGTCTATATCCAAGACCGTTATTTCTTAGCGTTACAAACGGTAAGGCAAATTTAGTATACCCTTCGAACATACGTTCGTACGGGTATAAATATAATGTTGCGTATATGAAAAATTAAATTGTTTTTAAAATTCAGAAATCATGTAGCAAAATTCTTGCATTATAACCAAAATAATATTAAATCTCATTGAAAATGCAATCGTATTTAGTTCAAGGCTATTATACGTGCACCATTATAATATTTTAATGATGCAATAAAAAATTATTTTCTATTTATTTTATAAATAAATATAAAAAAAAATTAATTTATGAATACAATTTTTTTTCTATATTTCAATGGATTCTAGTTAATACGAAATTAAAAATATCATATTTAACCTTGAATTTCATTTGACTAAAAAATATTTTATAAGTTTTTTGAATTCAATAAAAATTTTTTTTTTTTGCATTTTCTAAATACAGGATAATGTGGAAAACACTCACATATTTGCCTGTAATTTTAAAATTTTCACAATTATAAAATAATTTTATTGAATTTGTTCGATTGTTTTTTTGAAATCTAAATTTTAAATATTTTTTTATTATTTTATTAATTTTATAGAAATCTAAGTATTGTTTGCCAATTAATTTAGTTCACTAGATCCTACTTGTTTATCTACCACAAAAATGCAATAGGATTTGAAATTGAAAATTTATTGATTTTTTGTAAGTAAAAAGTTTTAAAAAAATTTTTAAACACTTTAAGTACAATCCGGTCTTCGGTTCGTTAAAATGTTAAAAAATATTAATTCTGACAATCATTCAGTTAATCTGTGTAATTACTAAAAATATAATCAAAAATTCCATGATACGTTTATATATATATATGAAAATACGTACTAAGTAACCATGTGTGTTAAGCTTGAGATCGATAAAAATTAAAACTTTTATAAATTTCTGACTACATTCTAGATTCCACAATCAAAAGACATGGATTCTATGCTCTTGCACTAAACTTATAACATAAATATTTAAAATGGATGGTTTTCACTAATGTATTGTTATAAAATGATTCAAAGACAAACCAATTTCATAAGTTAACCATAATTTAGCTCTTAAAAAGTTAAGGACATTTTGCATTTCTAGATGCTTACATCTAAGCACAAATTTATGACATTTAATCATTTACTGACAAAATGTCTTTACTTTTTTGTCAATAAGCCTATTAGCACAATTTGTCACTTTTCAATGTCGCTTTAATTCTTCAATTAAAAATTTTCAAAAAAAAATTTTACTACAATTTTATTCTTCTAAAATTAGTCAAATTTTTGAATTTTATACAAAATAATCAAAATTTATTTTGTGTATACAACAAAAAATCCTTACGTTACATTTTATATAGCTTTATTTTAATTAGATTAATAACATTTGAACAGTTTCGAAAGCCCTACTGTTATTCAGAAAAATGTGCCCGAAACTATTAGCAAAATTTCTCGTCTAAGAGAAATTTTGAGTCACATAGACTCAAAGTTGTTTTATGTAACAAAAATAACCAACGTCTTAACTCTTAAAAATTAATTTATTTTGTTTATTTTTGTATTTAATTTTTCGTCCCCTTTATTCATTTAAGCATAAATTATGACTCTTATCTACTTATCGCATAAATTTCAATCAATTGGCCTAGTTTTCCTTTAAAACAAAAGTAAAAATACATACATACATGACAATGAAAAACAAAATTGGGCAAAAATTGAAAAAATGTAAAAAAAAAATATTTTACTGATGTGTGACATACGCATATTCAGCATATATTCACATACATTATTATATTGTGACTATAAAAAGCAATCTACTGTGATTCGTATATGAAAATATTACATAGCCTGTTTTATATCCTTAAAATAAATTCCTTAGAGAGTAATTATTAGCACGCAAACAGTTTTTCTTTCATTTAATTTTTTATTTTCTCTTTTAATTTTCTTTTTTTATTTTGTATAAACAATTTAGCTTAAAAGAAAACTAGCCTTTAGAGGTTACAACCTTTTCTATATTATAAGTGACGTCTACTGGGACGAAATTATACAACATCAATATATGTGAAAATGAGGAAGTTCGTGAAAAAACAACGGATTTCAAAAAATCACATTTATTAACAACAATTCGCAACAAATCAGTATTTCGTTGAAATACTTTGAGTTGTTTTGTAAACATTTCTCAAAGTAGAGAAATTATGTTTAGTATAGGAAAAGATGCTTTTTACTGTTAAGATACTTTTTACGTTAAGTGCTGCTCATTTGACATTTATATATCTTGACATTTTAGTAAATTATGGGAGAAATAACTTTCTTTTTATCAACAAATGTTCTTAAATATGACAGACAAATGTTCTTAAACATGACAGACAAATGTCCTTAAATGACAGACAATAAAATGTTTTAAAACATGCGAAAAATTCATTTTTCGTACATTTTTTATACAAACAACATTCAGAAAATTTTTTTTTTTGGTTTAGTATGTATAATTTGGAATTTGTACGAAGTGTGTGGAATATGCACTTTTGGCAAGAATCATCCCTGAAAATATTTGCCACCTTATGAGATGCCTTACCCTGTATATGGTACAATATGTAAAATCGGCCCCAGTTTGATTTCCGAGCTCTGATGTTTCCAAAAAATTACAAGTTAAATTTTTTGGAATTCGGGGTGTTAGGATTTACATTTAACTTCCGAAAAACGTGAATTTTAACGCCCCGAATTTAATTATTAAATTTCAAAGAAATTGGTTGAATATTTATCTTTATACGAGTATGCTCAAAAATTTAACATCGGCTTGCAAAATGGTCCAGTTTTCGAGGTCTGATATATCCCAAATGTTGATCAATCCGTACCATGGCTAAAATATACTCACAATATACACGCGTTCACACACAAGTCGACAGATCGACACCTCTCTAAAAAGAGTTTATTTACGTTTATCTACAATGGAGAAAACTCAACATCCGAAATTTGGTGTCATCACATGATCTCCCCAATCGCATGCAATGCAGTTGATAATAAATGCTAGTGACAAATCACATCTGACATTAATATAATTACAATATTCATATTAAAATGTGTGGTACTGCATTGCAATCATTTTGTTTAAAAAAAATAAATAGTTTCGTTACTATTATTTGTCAAAATGTTGAAGTTCCATACAAATTTCTTCCCTTACATATTTTGAACACCTAGCATTTTTCTATAGGAGTGCAATAAATAAATTACTACAACTATTTCACTATAACATTTTATTAACCGAAAATTGAAATCGAAGAAACCAACAAATGTAAAAATATCTTTTTACGCCATTTCTTTCTTATTTTTTTAATAAAAATGAAAAATAAGTAAAAGGCAGAAGAAATAGAGAGAGAGAACAAAAAACTTTCCTACTCAAGTTCAATAAAAAGTAAATGAAAAAAAAAAAATTTTTAAAGAAAATTTTTTTTATATTAAACTCACCTTGAATGAAATTGGTAGGCAAAATTTCCTTTTAACGAATACCAATGTCGAGGACCCTTTAACCATACTGGGAAATCACATCTTTCAGCTGGTGGAGGCTTCCGAAGTGTCATTATACGTGATCCAACCTGGAAATTATTTCAGATTTTTTATTTGGATATTTTTTTGTTTTTGTTTTTTTTTAATTTATTTTTTACAAGTTTGATTGTGACGTCTTTTTTTGTTAATAATTTAGAGTGCGTATAAATATTTTAGGACCAAAATATTTTTACTTCAATTTAAAATTGAAAATAGGAACAAATATGTACACATGTATGTACCTACTATAAAAATTGAAAAGTTATGTTGGAAAATTTTTGGGATAAAAAGGAAAATTTTATAGGTTGTTCCATTTTCATTTCATATCAATGGGAACAACTAAATAGTACTCGTACATATAAAAATTAGTTGAGTTGTTTATGAGTTTTAATATATTATTTTACAAAATAAGATTAAATAATGAGAAATTTTAAGCCCGAAAGTAATTTGGTATTTGTTTTTCTTAATTAATAAAGTACCCGTTGATTATAAGACGGATTGCAAGTGAACCCGTTAATGATATATACACCGTTTTGATTGCAAATGGAATAATGATCACTAATAAAAATTATTGTCTTATATGAAAAATTTTTAATGCTTTTAATCTTCTTCACGTTCTGTAGCTCACAGGATTAAAATTTTAGCATAAACTCCACTTAATAATATAAATAAAATTTTTGAGGATCCAAGTTTTAAAGCGGTCTTCTAGGAAAACTTACTCTCAATATGTTTTACTAAAAATATAACAAAAAATTGAATGCAAATCCGTTAATTTCGAATAATTTTAGTGAATAGCATTTTTCATTATTCTGGTTTATTTTTACTATGCTCTGGAATCTGCTGTGCTATAAAAATCGAATGCATTACAATATTTTGAAACGTAACGCAAATTACGTAATTTACAATGAAATTTTTTACTTCAATTACAAAAGTTTTAAAATTTTTTTTTATCTTTTATTTTTGTTACGTAAATTAAAAGCTATTTTAAAAACCCACATTGAAAAAGCATTTTCAAGTCTTGTATGCTGCCCCTAAACAATTTTTAAATTACAGATTTTATTTTCGTTTGAAATTTTTTTCTCATGAAATCAACAATTGAATTATTTTAGGTAAAAAAAAAAATTCTTTCGGTTTTCTTTTTTTAGAATATTTTCTATTTTCATTTATAAATTAGTCCAGGGATTTAATAAAACAATAAAACTAAAACAAAAAAAAAACAAAAACTCCTTGTATAATGCAATTTGGTCGGTCATTCCCCAGCATCCATTTAGATTGAATAAAAGTGAATGGAATGAAAAATAAAATGAAAAAGGAGAAGAAATATTTAAGGAAAGGAAAACATTGCATAACTAATTTGCATTTACCATTTAATTTTAATGGCTTTTTCAAGTTTTCAGACAAAAATTGAATTTCTTTTAATTTATTTTTATCTTTTTCTTTGTTTTATTTTTAATTTTTAATTTATCTACAAGAATGAAAAAACGAAAGCTATAACAAAATGCATGCGATTAAAAAAAACATATAAAACTTACCTCAGCACTATCCAAACCATTACAAGTTGCATCACCAGATTGTGCCAATTTATATTCGGCATCTTTTAAATTGGGATTATTTAATTGACTCGAAAATGCACCTAAATGGGAGAAGCCCATAATATGAAAAGAAAAACAAAATTTTTTATTCAATATTTTAAGTTTCAAATGCATTTTTTTTCATTTCTGAATATTTTGATATTTAAGAGTTTTTTGAACATTTTGTACCTATTTAAAAAAAAACCATTCTCCTATAATCTTGAACATATTTTAATTTATAATTTGCTAACAAGATTGGTGTCGGAAGATAGGGTATGTAGGATACATTTGTGTTATTTATGCACAAATATTCTTACATAAAATTTATTGTGCTCTTTCAAATCGTTGATTTTGAAGTAGATATAAGAAGATCTACGACACTAACAATTTATTCGTATATTAAAATTAATTTGCTGAAATTAAATGTAAGACAAAATCTTGAACCAACTACGAAAAATTTAAGATTCATGAATTAAAAACTTTTTAAAATTGTTTTTACAATTAAGTTTTAAAATTAAGTAAAGATTTAGATGAGGAATATAACAGCTTGAGTACAATAAAAAAATTTCGAAGTTTCAAACTATAAATTCTGTAAATGTTAAAAACAATTCTCAGTTTCCGCGCAGGGAATTTTTGAATTTTATATTTAAATTTAAGATTTGTACTAGATAAATGGTTTACTTTTGAAAAAAGAATTGTCATTACAATTCATTATTATGAATAAATTCAAACCATAGTTTTTAAATTTGATGTAAAGGTTGAAGCTGCGAAATTCATCTCTCACTCACGACTTTTCATAATATTGAGTTGATTAAATTTCCGTGTATTTAAGTTTCTCGCGTATTAAATTTTATTATTGAGTGAAATATGTCAAATCAAATATATTTTAGAATATTTAAAATTTAGCGAATTCTCCAATGCCATAATATAATGCTCATTTAGCGCAACCGTCAACAAAGTGCGACCCATGGGCAACATGCGGTCCATTCAACTTCAAAATGTGGCCCATCATACTGCTCCCAAGAGAAGAATATATTCGATTGCGAATACTAAAATTTTTCAAAAAACAATTTTGAGATATCAATCATAGATTATAGGTGTAGGAACATAAAATTCTATACAAATTTATCATTAGTGTCAAAACAAAACCATCAATAAAGTCAGTTAAAAATGTCATTTTTCTTGTATGTAGATAATGTAAGAAACTCGAGTGGCACATACTCATGCTCACATATTTGCCCATAACCCACAAAAATTTGCCAGTTGCTGATTGTAGCATCGAATCGTCTAATTGGATTAAAAGTATATTTTCACATACTAAACAAAGACGTAACTAGACTCTAAAAGTAAATATATTAAATTAGTAAATAATTACTATACAAATTTTGCAAAATAGCTCAACTAAACATAGCATTTTAATTGACTACATAATTTTAATTCAAAAAAAATTTTCAAGGTTTAAGTAATTCGACATTAATTTACTTCTTTTTCAAAAATAAAAAAAAATAGAAAATATTTCAAATACCTATGAGTACAATAAAAAAATGAAATTTATTGTATAGACTTACCAACCATCGTTAAAATTTTCTCATATACAAAACATCTAAAACGATCTTCATTTGAAATGGCATGATGATGTGAAACAAGTCCAACTAAATAACGTGAATTTCCATCTTTCCATGTTGCTAAACAAGTCAGTTCTTCAACTATTTGAATTAGAGTTATTTTTAATAGTAAATTACTGCATCGTTTTTTCTTATTTTATAAAATTTTATATAAAGAATAAAAAGTCCATTTTTAAGTTCATTTTCAACGTATACGAAATAAAAGTATAACATAAATTCATTGGGGCATTACCATAGAGAAGAAAATGCAACGTGATCATAAAAATACAATGTAAAAGAATAAAATTATATAAAAAGTATAAAATTATAAAATAAATGGAAAACAAAGAGTAAACGTTTAGAGAAAAACATTAAAGAAAAAAGTATAAAGGAAGAATTTTTAAGAAGTTGTAACAACTTGTTAAAAGTTTTTCGTCAAAAAAAAAAAAAGTGAAAAAAACTTTTCTATTTTTAAACATCTACATTTTCTTTTTTCTTTAATTTTCATTAAACTACAGTAGAAAATTTTTTGTTTTTTAATTTTAAGATCAAAATCTGAAAACCTTGAAGTAATTACAATGTTGAACTAAACGTTAAACTAATATTTATTTAATAAATAAATATACCATTATAAAATTATTAAAATGAAATTACGATATGCGTGGTCTTAATTTCGGAACGCAATTTAGAAATGCGTGCTTCTGTTTGTCTTTTAGTTTTGAACTTCAAAACTGAAAATATTTTAAAATTAAAAATCCCGAACAAAATCTTAAAACTTTAGGAATTGTGTTTGCAATTTTAATATGATTTAAACAAAATTAATAATAATCTGAGGTCTAAATGTTTGTTATAATTATTGAATAGAAGCGATTGAATCAGCTCTATATTCATGAATATTCATTAAAAACTATATTCTGCCTTTGGAAAACACACGAAAGAGACAAAAGTCAGTAATATAACAAGTTCCAAAGCTTTTATTCGACAGCAAATATATTTCATTACAGGAGAATCTACTCCAATAGATTTCTTTAAGATAAATAAGAAAACAGCAGCCACTACTCATCCATGTAGTTACTATAATTTTAATCACATAGCTCTCATTAACAACCACGGTACAGGGAATTAAAGATATGTTAAAGATTAAACTTATGCATTTGCAACTCGTAAGACTTACTTTAGAACACAATTCCACAATGTAATAATTTAAAATTATAAAGTTATTATATACACATAAATTTAATATCAACATTAAAACTTCGTCCTTTTACCTTAACATTGAAAATACGCTCAAGTTAAAAAAGAAAAATAAAATAGTGAAAACTATAGCTTTTAGTATGAAAAAAGAAAATTCTATTCCTTTATAAATATCTTAATTTTTTATTTTTAGTATATTTGAACTTACCTGTACTTTCAGTTCCTTGAACATCTGGACATGCTTGAAAACTTAATAAAAGTCTGCTTTCTTCTGTACAACTATCAATATTTGATACAGGATTCCTACATTCACCATGTCCTCGATTATACGTGAATGTATATGGTCCTTTTTAATGAATGTATGTATATAGAGTAACAGTTATATGCATCCAGTTTTTATATATGAAATGTTGAAAATTTGATGTGAAAACAGATGAAAAAATTTGAAAAAGAAATGAAAAAAAAAAATATAAATAAATATTCTATAAGAGAGAGAAAGATCTAACAAATAAAATATTTTTATGGAAAGCAATCAAAAGATATGAAACTCTTTTCATTTCGTTTCTCTTTACTGATTTTTGATTTTAGATCTCGAATAGTAGTTGAGCTTTTCTTTTATTATAAATACCTAGCTATACATTCATTTTTCATTACAATAAAATAGAATTTTACTAACTTTATGTAACGATAAAAAATTGTAAAAGAAATATAAAAAAAAACTTATAATGTGCCTGTAAATGAAGATAGGAATGGTGAATGCTTGAGGGAAGAAAAATTATTTCAAAAAAAAATTATATTCGGTTAAATTTTTTATGACTTTGAATAAGTTTTTTTAAGGAAATAACTCTGTTGTGTAACATGGTTTGTAGTATGACCAAAATATTATTTAACATTTTAAGTTTTTGCCTTTAATATTTTGTAAGTTGTCACCAGTAATTATCAATTACTTTTAAATTATAGGTAAATATTTTGACCCATAATTGTTTTATAAATTCCTATTGCAAAAAATACTCAAAAATTACATAATTTAAAGTAATTGAAACAAATAAGGAGATTATTTAATTGATTTGCGAAGATATTGATTAAGTTTAAATAGTTAATTTCAACTAAACTGATCAGTAACTCAGACTAGCAAAAATTCACTTTACACTTATTGAAAATGAAAACGTAGCAAAAGTGTTGCAGCACCTTAAATACCATTGTATATATTTCTATATTATTATATTATTGGCTTTCCATACGTATAATACTAAGTGTAAGTGCCATTATAACTATGTATAGTAAAAAAAAGGAAATCATACAGAAAAAACTCGTCCGTTTCAAGTTCCCGCACATGTACCATATATGACAATAAAGAACGATTCGTTCACCTATCCTGGATAAGTACCACAGAGATCCTGATTTCCAATATAAGACAAGTTCGGATAGGTTTTTGGGCCTCTTCTCGAGCCACTGCGATTTGAACTATAATATGCACAAATTACGACTATCAGTAAACAAGCTTTGTTCAATTTTCGCAAGGCGGAGAATACGGCTGAATAAATCTTGTATAGGTGTAAAGCGTTGTTAAAGGAAAAAAAGCATTCACAGCGGGAGGTTAAACAACACTTGGACTCGTAAACATTATAGGATTCGTAAACATTATTGATCTTATGGAAGTTTTCTTATTCTAAGTGAGACGTCAAAATAAGACTTAATGCCTTCAGTGGTCTCGCCAACAGGATGTAACATTTGTACTTTTGTTACGTTTTCACAATAAATTGTGACCAATAGCTTTCCCTGTATTCCTGTGCCAAAAATAATAAAATGCATTGAGTGATAATAAAATTTTGGGCAAACTTAGCTGGTTTTGGTAATAAAATGAAGGTAAAATGAAATACTAGACCTAAACAATTTAATAATTGCAATATCACAGCTATATCATTACAAACAGAATAAAAAAAAATTTATTTCCCTTATAAAATAACGATAAAATTAATTTTTATTGCAACTATTTTTTCTTTATTTAAAAGGTTTTCATTTCATTAATATTTTCTTTCGTCTATACTTTCATAAAATTAAAAATTACTTACCTTTTAAAGGGCACTTAACAGGTTCCGCTTGCTCTCTAAATAAACTATATAGTAAAGCATCGCCAGGTATTTGATCACAAAGATTTTGTAAAATTTCTCGTCCTTTACAGTATGCTAAATTGAATATTTATAGTAAAATAAATAAAAAAAGTGAGACAAAAAATATAGAAAGAGTAGCACGTATATGTTATATATTTTTGTATATGTATGTGTTATAATTTTTTTATGGAACATATTCAATCAACAACTTCATTTTATCAATTAATAATTAAGTAATACGGGAAAAAAAAATATAAATCAATTTTTTTTTTTATTTTTAGTAATAACATTTTTTATTTTACAAATTTAAGGCTTCAATCAAGCATAAAAAAAAACGGAAGGAATTTAATTGATAAGTTGTTGAGATCCTTTTATTAATTTATGGTGTTTTTTTATAATTTTTTAGAAATTCTCATTATAATTTCTACATAATTTATTGGCTTGATAAGGATGTTAGTATTTAATTAAATTTATACATATAATATAAAAATTAAATTTAATAATTGCATTACAATTCTTTCGTAAAAAAAAAACATATTATTTATTTTAACTAATTATTTACAAAAGTAATTTAATCACTCATTTTAAAGCTGATCTTAATTTTAGTATGATGTAAATGAAATAGAAAATAATAAGCTATAGCACAATCCCTACATGTTACATAGTTATATAATAGTATGGAATATCGATATTTACATATGAACGATATGAGTATACATAATAGTATTCTTATAATGAGCGACTAAAATTTTACAAAATTTTTATTTATTAAATTAGATAAAAGTTTATAAAATTAAATATTGTTTATTAGAATTTTTCAAGAGTAATAATTGTTAATAAACATTACAATAATGATGATAAATGAGAGTATATTACGTATAATGATGATAAATTACTAAGTACTACTGACTACCGCATGGAAATGTGATCGAAAACAAGGTATAAGAAACTCAAAATTGCTATATCGATGGTAACATCTTTCAACTATTTCCTTACAAGTTTCATAATTTAAATATATTTTGAGTTTAGAATTTTTTAAATACGATAAGGTGCAACATTCATGGTTCAAATGCTTGATTATTGCGTGAATTCCATTATTTATTTTCTGATGGCAGATTGTTTTCTTTGATGGATTTCTTTGATTTTATGACTAAATATATTTAGTTTATGGTGCAGATTAGTTCTTGGCACCGAAAAAAAATTGCTGTTATTAAAAATATTGCCATCTTCTTGTATTTTTTCGCGAATAGCTTTGTAAATAATTGAAGAGGTAAGTGGACAAAGGGGACTAACATTTTGATGGCAAGTGGGCTAACATTTTGATGAAAATCGAGCTGCTTCGATAGAACATCATTAAATTTCATATATTTTCAACTGTGATTACTTTTATAGCTAGAAATTTAATAGAAAACGAGATTGACAGTGCACGTAGGAGATAAGTAACAAAAAAATTAATAGTTTTACAATTTGTTAATGAAAAAATTAGTCACGATGCAAATGTAAGTGAACCCCTTTGTCCACTTATCGCATCAATTATTATGTAAATATTCTGTATTTTGACAAACTAATAAATAATATGGAACTGTATGTACTTAAGTTAAATAATACACAAAAATGTGATTGAAAATAAATGATTGACATTTAGTTTTTAATTTAAATAAAGTTGGGTCAAACCAATGGTTTGTATTGTAGCACTTTTCCCTTCAACAAGTGAAAATTCTGCTTTTAAATACAGTCTATGTATACCTATCAAACTATTAAAATTATTTTCATTCATATACAAAACTATTTCTAGAATTGCATATATTTAGGATGACGCATATATGCAGTGTTTGAAATAAAGCAAAAATTAATATAAAAAGGGGTTAACATAATGCTCGATTTTAAGGGTTAATTGTGTGAGTTAAGAGAAATAATTATATTTTTTAATTTCATGGAATTTACCGTTAGCTTTTTGCGTTTATAAAAATTTGGAAAAGCTTGCGGTTTTGGAAATATAAGGTGTCAAAAATTCAAATTTTACAAATTTCAAGAGGTGATAACTTGAGATGGGGTGGAGATGGAAAAAAATTTTCTTCTAACGAAATGAACTATTTGTTAATGTCTAAAAGTTCCTAAAATTTCAAGCTTCTACAGGCTGGGGTCTAGAAGAAAAATGACATCAAAAATTTGGCAAAAAAGGACTTTAGATAACGGTAAATTTGAACGGCCATTTTGTTTTTCTAAAGTTTAACTATAGTATAACGCGATAGGGGAAGCAAGCCACTGCCTTTCTGCGTTTGCAAAATTTCAAAAATGCTTATGGTTTCATTGCAACAAATATTTAAAAAAGGCCATTTTTAGGGTTTTGGGGGGGTATAATTTCTAGAGGGGGGGAGATAGGTAAAAATTTTGTTCTACGGAAATAAGTTTCTAGTAAAGATCTATGTACGTATGAAATTTCAGCTTTCTATCTTAAAGGGTGTAGAAGTTTTGTAAACAAAAAAAGTGTCCACGGACGGACGGACAGACGGACAGAGTGAAACTAATAAGCACTTTTTTCAAAAAATTTTTTGGAAAAGTGCTAAAAACGAGAATTTTCATGTTAAATTTAAATTTCTACAAAGCTCATTTAACCCTTTGCGCTCCGTGCATTTTTTGCGCATGTTGGTAGTCAACTCCAAGGACTTTTAGGAAATATTTTGAAATCGCAATACTTTGAAAAAAATGCTGCAGTTTTTGGAAAAATTATTTTTTATTAACGATAATTAACTTAAGAATTTAACTTGAATGTATCTAAAAATGAATTCAAATTTAAAATATTTAATTTGGTTAACATTTTTTACAGACCGTATTGTGTAAACAATAGGTAGGCTATGTGATGGCAACAAATTTTGCATATCGAGTTTTGGGTGGGAACATACTTCTCCATAGTAGGGAAGTGTAAATAAACTATTTTTAGCACGCGTGTCTGTGTGTGCACGCGTGTATCTCAAGTTCGGCACAACCGATTTTGATGAAATTTTATATGTAAGTTTATTTCCACCATGGCACGGTTTGATCAACTTTTGGTATATATCAGGCCTCGGGAACTGCACTTTTTAGTGGGCCTGTTTTACATTTTTGAACATTTTAAAGAAAATATTCAACCGATTTACTTGAAATTTTATATATAAGCTTAGCTCGACCGTCCGCGAAAATTTCTATTGTTTGGAAGAAATCAGGCATCGGCAACTAGACGTTTACTACGGAACAAATATACATTTTTGTGTATATAAAGAGAAATAATCAACCGATTTCATTGAAATTTAATATTTGAATTCCTCGTATTAAAACAATGAACATATAAATTTTTTGGAAAGATCAGGGCTCGAAAACTGATCTGCGGGCCGATTTTACATTTTGCACCATATCTACGGAACGAATTGATGGAATTTCTTGAAATTTGATATTTGAGTTCTGGTTAAACTAACTGACGAGCATTTCAGGGAATTCGGGTAGCACAAAGCGAAACTCTACTAAGAGCCAAATTTACATTTTTCTAGATATGTTAGCTATAAGCTTACTAATGTCCTAAAAATTGGAAAGAAGTATTTAACAGTCATTTTTATAATATTCTGTAACACTTTCATTTAACTAGACAATACACAATGCGGTCGGTTATGTGCTGACCACATCAGATTTTTTATAATATAAACGGAAAAAAAAACATTTTGATGAAGTTTTTGTAGAAGCGTATTAAACATCTCTAAATTATTTAAATATTGATTAATAATATAAAAATTTATTTGTATACATATTACGGTAAATTAATTTAGCAAAATAAAAATTTATTTCTTATAAACTTTTCTAGTGTGATATTTCATGAAACAGTCGCGACATGTAGACCGGGTTTTCTTGTACATGTATCACAATGCATTCAACTAAACCCAAATTGTGAAATAATTAGCCGTTAAGATCGCAAATGCATACAAAACAGCAAAGAACAGAGAGAACAAACATGTCTCGTGTTAAAAAGTAACGGTATCAGCTTTAAACTTATGTTTTAGCTAGAAATAATTACTAAATAAAATGTTACCATTAGAACTGGTAGTTGGAGTAGATCGTCTTTACTGGTTATGCCAGCCAGACTGGTTTCGGCTTAATCAGAACAAATAAGATAATAGGTATAAAAATAAATATAAAAATCAAATTTTCCACCTACTTCCTAATAAATTTAATTATAAAAATCGTATTGGCTCTCAATACCGTCAATACCCTCAAATTATATTTTTGAAAAGTTCAAAGTTTTTATAACAAAAAAATAATTTTAAACTTTATCAAAGAAATTTAATCAATTCATTAAAATTATATTTAAATAATAAAGCATCAAAATTCAAAACAATTTTTCATAAAATGACTATTTCCTAAATAAAATTGTAATAATTAGAATAAAATAGTGTGGGATAAGGCAAATAACGTTTCGTAGAAAACATCATAGAAATGTGCATGTAGGAAGGACAAAATGTACAAAAGGAAGGTGAATAACAGACATTTCTTAATTTATACTTTTCGCTATTAAAGGGAGACACTGATCGCAAATACGTAAAAAATGGCAATGTTTTTATACCTTACTAGTTTGACGAAATTGTAACACAATATTGTGAAAATGTCCTTTAAACAAAAATTCAATTTAAACACAATTTTAAGAAAGCTAGTACAAAATTCCAGTTAATTCTACATAAATGTGAATTTAAATTTTACTAGACGTTCGCTTTCTAGCATATTTTTCATTCTTCGACTATTTTCTTAAATATGAATAAAAAAGAAAATTTGCTTCGTAGTAGAGGCCCAGTTCCTGGTGTGTAAAAATTACTGTCATTGACAATATATTAACTTATTCAATTGTTAGCAAGAGCTTATAAAATTTTAAGAAAATCTGTTAATTATTAAATTTTGTTAAAGTATATAAAGATATAAATTGGTCTCGGGGCAGTGGCTTTCAGTTGAAAAAAAGATAAACGCGTATACACAGACAATATCGCGTGACATAATCTGTTTACATTTCTCTACTACGAAGAAATGCATTTCCGTTGACAACTCGGGAATTTCAAAAT